AAAAGTATTAGATACTCAAGCACTCAACTGTAGAACAATCTATACATGATTTAATTTTGTTTAATATATATTTATATATACACAATTGAAAGTCACAAAAGTCACCTAAAGCTCTCTCATCCAGGGTATTTTCTAGTCAGGCACTTAGTACTAGATCAGCTTTTACACGATTTGTTTTGTGCTCTTTGTGCATTTGCATTGTTTATTTGCCTCTTGCTGTATATCAATGCAAGAGCCAACTCGTGGCCGGGCTTTGGATTCGCCCCTCTATATAAATAGAAATGGGGGCAAACCCCCATCAGTGAACCAACTCGTGCCTCTGCCTGAACCATCGATTGTTTGCTTTGATGTTGTTACTGTCCATTCTTGGTGGACAGCAGGATGTGTGGGCGTGGCTTGTAGTTGGGCTGAGGCGAATGGTTTTTAGCTATTTTTGCAACATCTTTTGCATTTGCGTCGCAGCTAAGTCAATTAAGCCATGGCGGCTACCCACTCACACACACACACACACACACACACACAGACAGCCGCCAACACGTCAGTCAATAGAATTTTGCCATTAGCCATCAGGCCGCGCACAAAGGTCAAATCCCACAGTTCTTCTATAAATAGACGAAAAGCTCATGTGAAATGCCTCGTCATCAGTTTCGTCATTATCGTCATCATTGTAATTATCGTTTACCTCATCTTCATTATCAACTGGAGCAATTTGACATAATTTCGCTTTATGTCTTTATAATTGCCTTTCCAACACTTGGGAAACATTTGACAATTGAGTTGTGCTAAAATTATATAATACAAAAATATATACAAATTACCGTAATTCCTTAGAACTTTATTAATATCGTCTGTTAGTATTATTTTTGGATGTATTTTCCCCCACTCGATGACTCAACGTGAATTTGAAACTTTTTGTTTGCTGTTTCTGTTCTGAATGACGCCGACTTATCGCTGGGGTCGATCGATCTTAACTGCTATTCGATTTGCATTTCAAGTTACATATATGTACACATATATATACTCATATATATGTATACGCTATATGAGTTATAATTAAATGAGTCAAGAGAGCCTCTCCGCAATATGTGCATACTGATTAGGGAGGGGGCCATAGCAAATGCTGTATGTGGAAATATAAACCTTATGTATGTATAAATATAAGTTGATGTGAAATCTGTCACGATCGAACTGGATCTGGGTCTGGGCTATACGTTCATAGTTTTTAGTTATACTTTGCCCACAGTTCAGCGCATTGCACAAAAGTTCAATCAAGCATCTGAAAACAAATGAATTGGCATATCGCGGTACGTGACTCGGAAATCGATATATTCATGAATCGACTTGTCATTTG